TTTTATTTAAAAATAATAGATTTATAATAAATTTTATAACATATTTTAACTAAAAATTAAAAAAAATTGTAAGTTTTATGTAGAATTTTGCATAATAATTGATTGAAAATCATAATTAAATTTGAATGTTAATCATTACCATTTAAGGGATAATATATAATAATATATAATTTTTAATTTTTTAATAATTTATTCAAAAAATTAAACTTTTAATTAATTTATAATTCAAAACCTATTTAACTTATAGTTTAAAAATTAAAAACTTTTTAATCATTTAAAATAACTTTTTTTTTTTTAAATCTAAACTTAATTAAATTTAATTAAGTTTAGAAAAACCTAAGGTATTAAATCATTTTTATTACCAATGAAATCATATAAAATTTTTTAATATAAATTTAATTTTAAAATATTTTTAAATTTTTTATAATATAATTAAAATTAAAATTTCTATAATAATATATATTTATAAATAATTTAAAAACAATTTTAATATTATATTAAAGTAAATTTATTAGTTTAAAATATAACAAAGAACTATTATGATCTATGCCTGATAACATAAAAATTCCTATGTTTACTTAAAAATTGAGTTAATACATAATTGGTTATTTTTATTATAATTGTATTTTAGACTTAATAATAGTTTTTAAAATTATTTCCTAGTAGGTGATTAATAAGTAAATAAATTAGATTGTAAATTTTTCAATCTAGAAACAATAATTAAAAAAGTTTAAAATTAAATTAATTAAATAAAAATTTATATAATTTATTTATATTTACTTATAAATTAATTTTATTTAGAATTTGAAATATGAAAAATTAGTAAAAAGAATTATTTTAATAAAATTTAAATTTATAAATTTAAAGATAAAGTTTATGCTATATCTATATATTATTTAAATAAATATATTTTAAAATAATATTTATTATAATAAAAATTAAGTAAATTATATTTATAAATTTTTTAATAAAAATTTTACTTTTAATAAATAACTTTAAACCTAATTTTAATTAATAAGTAAAGTTTACTTACAAAATTATTAAAAAAAATAATAAAACATTTAAATTAAATAATTAATATTTTTTTTAAATGATGATTTTCTAAATTATTTTTAGAAAATTTGAGTTTTGAGATATTTGAGATAAAATTATTTATTTATAATAAATATCATTACTTAAACTTCTAATAGATTTTTTAAACTTAATAAAATTTAAATAAACTTTAGATTTAAGATAAAGTTATATTAAAAATTTTGAAAAATTTCTAAATTTTTAAGCTATATATTAAAATAGTTTTAATTAGTATTATTAGATTTAATTAATATAAATATTTTTAAAAATTATTATAAAAAAATGTTTAAAACTTGACTTTAAAATTGAATTATTATAAAAAATTTGTATAATAGAACGCTTATTTTTAATGCTTTTATTAGAAGATAATCTAATAAAAATAATACATTATTACTTAGATATTTAATTATAAATAATTTAGTTTACTAGATATACAGTATATATAAAATTTAAGTAAGATTTATTTTTAAAAATAGATTATTTTTAAATTATTTTATATTAAAAATAGTTACTTATAAAGCAATTGAAGTTTAAATTAATAATAATTAATAATAATTAATAAGAATATAAAGAAACATTAAATGTATAATATAAATTCTAATAAAAATGGTTTATATTTCAAATAATTATTAAATATTAATTTATTAATTTTAATAAATTTGTTTATAATATTTATTACTTAAATTATCTAGCAAATAAATTTGTCTACATACTTAATAAAAAATATTTATTCTTAATAAAATATTAAATATTATTTAGTAATATTATTATAATAAAAAACTATATTTTAATTTTAATCTAATTTATTAGATTTATTAGGTTAAAATTATATCTAATTTAAATATTTTAAATATTTTTAAATTTATTTTAATATAAAATTATATACTGTAATATTAAAACATTTTAAAATTCTTAATAACTTAAATCCGAAGTTTATAAAAATTATAAAAATTTATAAAAAGTTTATTAAACTAAAATATTTATAATAAATAAATAGTTTAATTATAAATGTCAAAATTGAAAATTATTAAATAGTTAAAAATAATAATTACCAATTATTGACTTTATAATATATAATATAAAATAATTTTTATAATTTAATTTTAATAAATATAATATTATGAAATAATTATTTAAATTTTAATATAGATATTTTAAATAGTATATAAATTTTACCCTTTTTTTTTTTAATAAAAAAGTTTTAGAAAAAAATATAAATTTAAAATGCTGATTTAGTTTTAAGATTTAAAAGTTAATTAGTTTTAAAAAAAATCTTATTTATTCGAAATTTATGCTACAAAACTCTAAAAAATTTTTTATCTCAACTTATTTTACTAAAAAAATTTTTTTTAGAGTTTCGTACCTTTCTACTGCAAAGACCCATATATATGAAACAATAATTGAATTTAAAATTAAAATTTATTAAGAATTAAAGGGTGGAAAAAGAAAAAAATTTTTTTTTTTAGTACATTACAATAGATCAAATAGATCATCTTATTCGAACCATTGTGGGAATCTTATTGGTCACTCAATATAATTCGAAATTAATTTTTATAACAAATTCAAATTTCCCAAGAAACCGTTTTGTAAACATACTGCGCTAATTTTCATTACATTTGGCGCAGCATCAATTCAAAATAGCGATACCCGTCCATTCGCCATTCCTCATTCACCATAGATCATTTACTATTTTCGTATCGTGAGATGCACCCAATAACTTAAGCCATTTAGCGCAGTCCCAAACCAGAAAACGGTATACTTTACTATTTTTGCTGACATACTATATTTATCACCGAAGCTGAAATGTTCTCTAGAAATAAGCCTAAAATGGCGCAATGGGGATTTCCAAATAAAAAAATAAGGCTTGAAATTAATTTGGAAATTGATTTTATAAATGCACAGCTAAAAATAAAAGACAAATGCATGATAAAAGCATGTAAATCATGTTAATCGTTATTTTGATTATTATTTTGGCCAATAACATTCGGTGAAGAATTTAAGGCTATAAAATAAGTCTTAATAGATTCATTTTTTTCGTTTTTTTAGACAAAATACAAAATACAAATATAATTTATTTTTTTAAAGACAAGTCACGATGAAATTAAACCCTAAATCGTTCGCGTCCTTAGTTTCGATTTTACTATATATTGCGGAATCAACCTTTGCAGCCGCAGTTCCTAAGAAAGCTTTTACTTCTCTTATTGTATTTGGAGATTCTTATACTGGTAAAAAAATTAATGATTTCAAATTAATCTTAATTTTTAAATAAATTAATCAATTTAACATTTACTTTCTTTTGCATCAAGATAATGGTAATGGTACATTTGTAATAACCAATGGAACCGTTCCCCCTTCTCCACCATATTTTGAAGGAAGATTTTGTAATGGACCAGTTTGGGTTGAATACTTAGCTGGTGAGCTTGGTATTCCATTAATTGATAAAGCTTTTGGAGGAGCCACATCCGAGTAATTATTATTATTATTATTATTATTATCATTATTTATTTTCACCTTTTCTTCTTACCAAACCACAAACGAACGATTCTTTGTTTTTAGTTCAAATTTGGTACGTAGTGCATCCGGTCCTGATGCAACTTTCGACGTGCCTGGAGTCATACAACAAATCGATGCTTATATACAAGAATTACGAGAAAAAGGAGTTGAAAAATTTGACGAAAACGCTTTATTTTCGGTGAGTTCAAAAGAATATCATTAACGGATATGTCGTCATTTCAACTAATCCATCTTCTGCGTTTAAAAGGTTGTCCTTGCTGGAAATGATTATTCTTATTCATTAGATCAAGGACAAGTAGTTGCACCTGAAAAAGTGGTTGAACGAATTATGCTAAACCTTCAAACATTGTTTGAATTTGGCGCAGCAAATATTATCGTGAACACCATGCCGAATTTCTCCAATAGTCCATTGTACGCTCAATCAAATGTATCAGAAGCCATCACAAATATTGTTGAAACTCATAATCAATTACTAAAAAGTTCCCTTGATGAGTTCGTTAAAAGCACTAAAGCGAACATATTTATTTACAAAGCCGATGAATTATTTACTGAATTTACCACGACAAACTTTCATGATGAGATTAACGTTTCAAAAAGTTTTAATGAACAATGTATCACTTATGTTGCTCAAAATAGACCTCAACCTTGTGATCAACCGGATCAATACATCTTTTGGGATCGGGTTCATGTTACTACCAAGATACATAAAGTTATAGCTGAAAATGTTTTGGAATTATTAGGTTGACAATTTAAAATTCTTAAATAATAAGTCATTTAACCTTTTAGATTAATATAGATTAAGAAATATTTTCAAAATAAATGGGTCGTTTGCTATTAAGTCACATATTAATTATATTATCATATGACGTAAATAAATCGATATGTATGTAATGTAACAAATAATAAATTGTTAACGTCCAGTTTGTGACTCCAAAAGATTTTAATGATTCTTGGTAAGGAATAACTATTTTGCCCTTGACAAGATAGAGTTAACTAATAATTTAAAAAAAATACATGATCACGTGACAATCCGACCTCGTTAGCGGTGAAAATTAAAATGATATTATTTTCGAAGCCTTGCAAGAAATATTTTATCAAAATATTATTGCATTCCTTGCAACGTTGCATTGGTGTTTGATTGCATTATTGTGTGAGAGAGAGAGAGAGAGAGAAACATCGTAAGAGACGGTTAATTCATGATTGATGTAACAAATGTAAGTCAATTAAGTAAAACGAAAACATTTAAAAGGTGTATCATTTTTTTTAATTGCTTATGCGGCGCAGTAAATACCATCGATTTTCGGCATGTTTACGGCATCACGCAATAACGCGCAATAAGGGTAGTTTAGCCCAAGTGATATTAGTTCCTATTCACAGTTGTCAAGTAAAAAAATATCCATTAAAAGGATTTATTACCGTCCTTTTGACACGAATTCGGAAAATTTTCGGAAGATGTTCAGGCAACCTTTTGGATGATGCATGGCGTCATTCGGCATAATGTATATAATCGTTCTTTGACATTTTGTGAATACATCAAACTTTAAATTGTGTTATTATTGTTGCTGTTATTGTTAATCTATTCATTCTACCGCCTTTGTAAAATCTTCCAAAGTACGTTTTACTCTGTTTGATGATATTAAATACAGCTTTAGCCATCATAACTGTGGATGGACGCAATGATCATTATAACTAAATGCAGAGATGTGCACAAATAAGGCCATTTATAGATCACATTGTCATCGATATCATCATCATTCTTCTTTGGTAAGAGAACGAAAAGCAAGGAGGCAAAGGTAACTTGAGGCAAATCATGATGTTTTGAAATAATCAAGTTTTCAGTAAAAGGTTCACGACCAGTGGATAAAACCTGCAGACAAAAAGCTATATTACGATGTATCTTTGTTATCTGCAGGACTTTCAGATGTTCTTCCACTTGACGTCTAATTCCCGGAATTGTAGTTCCAAACCATTTTTTAATAATTAATTATCATCACATGTCGCTTAAAGGAGCTTGGATAATCCACTCACCTGTATATCAAACTTTTTTTTTTGCATCAAAGGCTCGAATGCTGTGTTTAAGGAAAATGTGATATCCCATTTAGCTTCCATTTTAGGAGAATAAAACAATTAATTCTCACTTTTTGAAAAAGTGATCAATGTCACATATCATACCACATATCACATGAGATAATCATGTGAATACGAGGGTATAACAAATTTTTTTTTTTTGAATCAAAATTTCATCAAAATCATCCATCTTATTGTAATGATTGTAACTATTTATATTTTAACGTTACGTTAAATATAAAGTTTTGAATATGGAGAGATTTCAGGTTCTAAATGGAACATTCCATGATTCTTTTCGAGACCTTTTTTTTTGAAATTAATGTTTACAAAATATTATTCCTTTCTTTAGTTAAAAGCACCTTACTATCATTTTTAAGAGCTAGCGCAAAAAGAACCGTTTAAATGTCGCACAGCAATCACTTTTCATGTGATATGTGACATTTGTGGGTCGTACGGATTCCGCTGCGCTACAGAAAATAATGTTTATTGGCTGAACCATGGCGTACTATTATGCGAAGATTGGTGGTTAGATTATTATTAATACAGCAAGTATTTCGTAAATATTACAACTCCAAAAACCCGGTAAATAAATAATACAATTTTTTTTTTATTTATAAATAGAAAAAAAAAAAATTTTTTTTTTTCCATTTAACCTTGTTTTTCTTTCTTCTTTCTTCCCTTTTACGAAAACCATTACAAAAAAAAGTTGCTAAATAAAAAAAAAGAAAAGACTTATAAACTCTTTTTATTCGACGAAAAAAGACAATCTTGAAAAAGATGTCAGAAATTTCAGTAAATATATTTTATCGTATCATAGTTGGAGGAAAAATATTTATATTATCACGATCAAGTATCTCGTACGATTCACCAAATTTATTCACGGAATATTTCGTCAAAAAACCATTAACGGCAACAGAAGTTTGGCATGATGAAATAAAAACGTTACGGGAACAACATAGTAGTAATAATTCTTCGTATTCGAATAATAATAATCAAAGTATCTTGAATGGTCATACATCAGCTTTCACCATAGGATTAACGAATATGTTCAATCCTATAGCTATTGCACACACTTCTACCACACCTCCACCACCAACATCAACCAAAGACATTTCTTTTGATCGTGATCCTTACATTTTTGAAGTTATAGCAAGGTATCTTCGTGGATACACGATGTCCTTTCCTCTTTCCTCTTCCATTAATTTACCCACCGGAATGAATATCGAGTCTTTTCATCGATACCTTCTTGAAGACGCAATCTATTATAAATTATCTCATCTTCAGCGACTTTTATCAACTGTCTTTCCAATTCAATCACTAATGCCATCTCCTACCTTAACTTCAAGCTTAACCTCAATCTCTTCACTTAATAATAATTCAAACAATAATAATTCCCCTTATTATGATCCGTTTATGAATGATACGAAAATTGATCTCCTCCTCTCCAATACACCAATAGACCATTTGGTAATGTTGGATCGTAAACTAAGATACAAGATAAAATCTTCTGAATATAATGTTCATCCTTTGGTACAATTTCATACCGAAAATGTCGTATGGGATATTTCACCAAACGCATGGAGCTTTAAATTCTTGCAATCAAAAGATTTATTAAAAATGACCTCTTTTTGTAAAGTTTTCATCAATTCAAAATTTTATAAAAATGTTTTGCCAAATCAATTTGGTGAAACCTTCTTTAACGGTTTAATATGTACCTGCGTGTTTAGAATTGATGGAAGAGAATGTAATGGTTTGGATGTTTATAATAGATTCTTTAATAAATCAAGACAATTTCATAAACCTTCTTCGACGAGTAATCCGATTTCGACGGGTATCCCTACCGCGATGACAACAACAGCGGCGTCATCAACATCTTCAACCACTGGGAACATTATTAATACCGCCATGAATAAGGCCAATACTGCTACCGAATTTCAACAACAATATTGGAGCATCGGAGTGGGTGGAAGTAGAAGCATTTGCTCAAATACCAATAATTCTAATAATAATAATAATAATAATAATTCTACGAATGATGCGGGCGTTGGAACCACTTCTGGACAATCCGATGATATCGTTAATACCGGAAGATTTAGAATTTTATTGAAAAACTTTAATTTTTATATTCAACTTGGTTTCAATGAGTTTAATAGAATTGTACCCATGTTGGTCATCGTTCCTTGTTGGGGTGAAGGTATTACTGAATTTGAATGGTTGTCTTCTGGCAACGAGAAAGTTATAATTAATCCTAACATTACTAAAGAGGAGTAATTTAGAAATTATAGATAATGAAACTGGTTTGAACTAATGTACAAAAAAAAAAAAAAAAATTTCAAAAAATTCAAAAATCAAAAAAAAAATGAATTATAAAAAAAGTAAAAAAAAATTTCACATTTTTGGTATTACAATAAATTTTTCGTTATCTTTTTAATTTTTTTGGCTGCTTAATAAAACAGATCAGATAACAATTGTTTTTATCTATCTCAACTTTCTTTTACCCATCTTATTTTTTTTTAAATCTTATATGAAATATGTTTAACACGATTACTAACAAAAAAAAATTTTTGATATTTTTTTCCTTGCACTTAACTTTCATATTTATTATATCACAATTTCATCCAATCAAAATACCCGTCGGATAGGCGCGCTCAACTTCATTAAATATGTATGGTTTCCATAAATCTTTATTAAATCTTAAATAAATAAATAAATAAATTCTATGTAAAAATAAAAAAAAATTTCCACCAGACCAGATTATATTACTAATTTTTATTTTTTTCTGCTTATAAAAAAAAATTCCATCGCGATATTTTCACTTACAAACGCGAAAAAATTATCGCGTATTAATACAATAAATTTCAAACATATATGTCTTATAATAATTGAAGTAAAGTTTTTTTTTTTTTTTATAAATATAATATATAAAAAAAATATTTTTTTTTTTAAAAAAACTTTTGTTAGTTTATATGAATGAATATGATTTCGGCGTCTACAAAAATTTTATTATTCTATATGTTTTTTATTTGATTATTTTGATATTATGATTTTGATTATTATTATTATTATTATATTCTTTTTTTCCCTTCTCAGCAACTATAAGTGTGACTACTCAAAAAAAAAAAATAAAACCTCAAAATGACTTTTTTTTTTTTGGTTCTATTCATTTTTAGTTTTATAAATTTTTTTTTATACATAACCTTTAATAATATATTTTGTTTTTTGAAATTTTTTTTTTTTCAAAATTACAATGTAATAAATAAGCATGGATTCAAGAAATAAATATAACAAGATTCAAATTATATACGCTAATAATAATGTTATTAACAAGAAATATATGTATATTTATGGTGTATTAATACCGGAAATATATTAAAATTAATTTTTGGGGGGGGGGGGGGTACCGAGTACCCCCAGATCCCCTTCTTAGGCTTTTTTTTTTATCATTTTTTTTATTTTTTCTATTTTTATTTTATTTTTTTTTTTTTTTTATTGTTTATTTTTTACTTCATTATTAATAATCTAAAAATTCATACCGGTATGGTTTTACATCAATTGTAAAACCATACATTCCATACATGAAAATCCATACCAT